ACAAGTTTTGCAACGTGACTGTGTGTTACAGAACAGTACACTTCAATTACCCAGTGTGTCCATTCGCAAAGAACCAGTCTTTGTTCTCAAAATTGCAGAGCCTCAAATTCGAACAAATGTGACTTCCAGTGAGTCACAGGTTGGCATCATGTTACAATGGCTAGGTAGATTAGCTTACAGAGCTCAAAAAATCGAACGCACAAATGCCACGTGTAACAATCCCAAGTGTTTATTATGAAGATACAAAGACAAGAAGATATAACTTACGTAGCCAAGTAGCAAAGAGTACAGTAGTGGTTAGATACTTAGTTTGGTAGCGATTGTGGTTGTAATGTGGCAGCAAATTTCACAGTCCAAACTAAAGGGCAACAGAAAACGAAAGAAACCTTATACAAATGTAATTGACTAACTAACCATGACGATATAATAATCTATACTTGAAATCAACAAGTAACGATACAAATGATAAACTTGAGTGGAAAAAAATAGAAGTAACTTTGGTTGAGCTCCTTTAGTACTTGAAAGCATAGCAAAGTTGACAAAATAGTCAGCAAAATAGTTAACCAGAGGGCTATCGTCAGCGTGTAAAATGAGTGAATTGTGAACTAAATTACATACAAACAAACAAATACTTTATTTATCAAGGGTGAAATACAATTTTACTGGTAGCCTGGTAGTTTACATAATGGCCCCCAACAAAATCAAAAACTAAAATCATACTGATCCTACCAATTATTACACTTCCAAGTAAATTATTACTATTTATTATAAAAATAAAAAGGTCCTACTAATCTTAAAATGTTCTAGTCCAATCCAATCCTTTATTTAAACACGTGACACCTAGGAGTACAGAAGTTCTCGTTAAAACGTGTACGTGTATGTACAATTAGAAATAAAGCATAATTTCTGTAAGAATACAAATAGTATGTAATTCTATTAAAAAGCTAAAAACAGGATCGAGAATCATGGACAAGAGCTATCAATTAGAAGTTACAATATTAACAATATTAACAACAATAACGATATTTACAATCACTACCATTAAGCCATGTGGGCTTTAAGAGAATGCTTAAATGAAGCAATATCTTGAGATTCTCTGAGTCTAGGGGGTAGCGCATTCCAAAGTTTACTAGCTAAAAATGAAAAAGACCAATGTAAAAACTCAAGATTAAAAGGAGGTAAATCTAGCCTTGTACTGAGCCCGCGTAAACTATACGGTACATTTCTAAAATGAAAAAAATCACTTATATAAGGAGCCCCCTTATCATACAAGCACTTATATAACATAACCAACGATTGGAATTGCCTACAATTCTCCAAAGACTTAATGTCGGCCAACTTGAGGAGGAAGTCGTATGACACAGACTTCGAGAAGCCTAATATAGTTCTTAATATAAAGTAATTAGTTGTCTCTTTTTTTGTAGTCTCCGCGTTACCTACTCCCAGTAAAAGGGGACTGCAGTACTCAAGATGAGGGAGGACATAGGCCTTATATAAACGAACTAACACGTCCTTTGAAATAAACTTACGTATTCTCCGCAAAGCCGAAGCCTTTGCGCATCCCTTACTCAGCTGTTGCTTTATGTGCGCTTTAAATGTTAATTTGCTATCTAGGACCACCCCAAGGATTTTGAGTGTGTCCTTTGTATGGACATTAGAATCATTAAGATGGAAATCATATTGGTATGAAGACGGGCCAATAGCGATAGCTTGCGTTTTGGCGGCATTAATCTGTAAAAAATTCATTGAGAACCATCTCGATAGAACGCTCAGATCAGAGTTAATTATATACTGCAATACTGTTGGTGAGACATCAGAGGCGTAATGAGTAGTGTCGTCAGCATATAGCCTCAAGGACGTACTAGTAATAAAATAATTAAGATCATTAACGTACAAATTAAATAGGAGAGGACCCAACAGGGACCCCTGTGGTACACCAGTTTTAACGGTTCTCCATGAAGAATATACACCGTCAAGTTTGACTCTCTGTCTTCGTCCAGTAAGGTAAGCGGTCATAGTTTCCAGCGCATCATGCGTAAAACCATATGCCTTTAATTTAGCTAGGAGAAGCGGGTGACAAACAGAGTCAAAAGCTTTACTTAGGTTGATAGCCACCGCTGCAACAGCTTCTCTTCTGTCAAGACAGGCTCTCCAATCTTCAGTCAATTTCAATAAGGCCGTGCAACACGAGTGACCCTTGAGAAAGCCAGACAGGTTCGGTGAGAGTCGCCAATGAAAGGCTTCATAGATTTGATCGAACAATACTTTCTCATATAATTTCGATAAGGAAGTCAGAACAGAGACTGGACGATAGCAGGTCTTATCTGTCATACTTTCCTTCTTGAAAACAGGAACAACGTCGCTGCTTTTCCAAACTATTGGCCATTGACGGTTGGTGATAAAATAATTGATTAATCGGGTAACCGGCTCGGCAATAACAGGTGAGGATAAACGAAGTAGCCTCTGAGATATCTTATCGCACCCAACAGCCTTGCGAGGGTCAAGAGAATCCAAAATTTTCCTTATGTAGCCAACATCAACTGGGACGAGGTCAAAAACATCATCACAAGTTTTCTCAGCAATGACTTTAACGCTAGGATGATCAACAAACTCAACCATTTCCTTACTGTCACCATCACTCCTGGACACCTCGCAAAAGTAGTTGTTAAACATTTCAGCCACCATTAATGAATCGGTAATTACACGCTCATTCTCAATCAGAATTATCTTTGATTGCTTCTTTTCTTTGCTTGGCAACAAAGGTCTTAACTTATTCCAAAACTCACCATGATGTTTAGTGTTTGACGATGCCTCCATGCAGAACGCCTTCAACCCTTTTCGTTTCAGGGATGTGACCTTGTTTCTCTGTTTCTTGAATTCCTCCCAAGAGGTTGTTGTTGGGCTCTTTGCATGTTTCTTAAACAGTCGATTACGACGCGAGATTTCGCGTTGAATTAATGGAGTTATCCATGGCAACTGATCACCTCTGACCCGTTTTTTCTTTATTGGTGCGTGTTTGTCCAACACTTCAGTGTACAATTGAGCCCAATGGTGCCATAGATCATCAACGTCGTCATAAATGTAAGTGGAACTCCAGGGAATAGTTTTTAGGTCATTTAAAAATTTTTCTAAGTCGAATTGTCGCATACTTCTGTATTCAATTTCACGTGCCTTAGCCCTAGGTAATTTATTCTTTCGCACCGCATAGATAAGATCGTGATCACTCAGACCCATATGCAAATTACCACAAGTTGCATATCGTTCCGGATGGCTAGCGAGAATGACATCGAGTAAAGACTTTGTTTTTTCAGTCACCCTTGTCGGTTCACTAATTTGGTTTTGCAAACAGAACCTATCACAAAGGTCCATGAGTGAGTTATCCTCAGCAACAACACCGTGCTCCCCAACAAGCAAGTCGATATTAAAATCACCAATCAATAATATTTCCTGACGGCTTGTATACATAAGTTCAATAGCTGATGTAAGCGACGACAAGAAATCAGTAATTTTACAGAATTTAGGTGATCTGTAGCACGCACACACAATAAAGCGAGCCTTTTTAGAATCCATGACATCAAGACATAATGATTCGACTGATTCGGGCTCCAGATTACGTCGTCGACAGACAGGTAATCTGGAGCCTGAATCAGTCGACTAGTTTTTTTTTGATAAATTATTCTGTAGCATTTTCCTAAAATTTGAGTGGGAAATTATGTTTCTGTATGTGTTACCTAGAAAGTATCAATGATTAAACTATTCATCTATCTATTGATCTATCTTTATCCAGGACCTTCAGCTATTTCACTGTTTTCATTGCCATCTGGCAATGAAAGAAGAAATCTGAAAACTTTTGTAGACTTGTTCCATCATTGGGAGGAATCTTGAACTATTCATTTATTTTCTTCCTGTAAGCATCTGTGACAAGAAAAGGGGTCATCAAATTAGTTAAGTAGGATCTTCCTTGCCTGTTTGTAGGGGTCCTCAGTCTTCAATTGCAGTAAGCCACACATTGCTTCTTTAGGTTCACCTGCTGTGTACTTTCTGAGATAAAACAATCTTTGAGACACTCACTCTGTCTGCCCTTCTATAATGTTCCCAAACGACTTCAGCCTTACAGGAAAGTTAGCAAGTCACCGCTAAAGATCTCTGGTTCAGGAAAAGGAAGAATATCTTGCAATTGTTGTTGAGTTGAGATGTCAGCTAATCTATTCAGTGAATCTTCAATTGTTGACTTGTAAGGTGAATCGCTTGTCTGTCCAATGTCTCAGCCTTTCCTCAGTTGTTGGTGTTTGTACCGCTCTCAGTCCAGAGGATAGTATGGTTCATACCTTGGATATCAACTGACTTCAAATCTGAGTGCACATGGATGTAATGACCTGGGAGTGAGGATCACTGGCTTCTGTTTGGGAGAGCTACTTGCCTTGATGGTGGAATTAATTTTCAAGGGAGTAGCTACAGGCTCCTTTATCACAGGAATACCCTTGTTGCTGGGAATTTCCTTTAAAGCGTTGTCCATAGAATCCCTTGCGAACTGAATTCCCAGTTTTCTGGGAATTCCTAGGAATTCCTAGGAATTCTCAAAAATTCCTAATTATGCAAATGACCCTTGCAAACTGAATTCCCAGTCTTCTGGGAATTCCTAGGAATTCCTTGGAATTCTCAGCTATACAAACTACCTATAACTATTTGTGGACCAGAGTTCCAACGCACCTCTGTAATCGCATATAGTTACTTCTGTCTCTTGTACAAATGTTTCTCCTTTGTAAGACACACTCTACTCTGTTGTCACCACTGCTTTAAGTTCAGTGGAAACGACTGACTGAGGATACAGATACAGCCTTGATTCTAAGGAATGCGGCCACCGACAATCTCAGGCGATACCAACTCGAGTGGTATTCTATTAGTTTGTTAACTGACGTAGCCGTGGCTTCCATTACCATGGTACCGGTGGAAGCAACTTTTCTGACCTCAGGGTCGTCATCTGGGACCTCACCGACTGGAAAGGGCTGTTGCGGCCAGTCCTTTTCTGATTTCCCTAGGAAGTGTGGACCATTTGACCAGCGTTGCTGCTGCAGAAGTCCAGCGGCGGAAAGTCCTCTTGAGGCATCATCTGCCGGATTGCTACTGGTGTCCACGTATTTCCACTGCATAGGACTAGTGAAGTCCCTGATCAATTGCACACGATTTGCCACGAATATCTGAAACCTCCTCCGCTCGTTTCTTATGTAGCGGAGAACCGTCGTCGAGTCGGTGTGATAGATGATAGACTCAGGCTTAACTTCAAGCTCTTCATACAGCATTTGTCCCACGCGAACAGATACGGTTGCTGCAGTTAATTCTAAGCGTGGGACTGTTACGGCCTTAATAGGTGCAAGACGAGCCTTCCCCATTAAAAAGGAACAATGTATGCGACCCATGTTATCCATTAGACGTAGGTAGGCAACGCATCCATACCCCACCTGGCTTGCATCGGAGAACAGATGGAGCTGTCTGGAGACAACTGGGCCAAAACCCGGCGGTTTGTGACACCGATCAATGTGAAATTGCTCTAGTAACGGAAGCTCTCCACACCATCTTAGCCATTTACTGCGGCAGTCTTCCGGAATGTCGTCATCCCAGTCGAGATCTTCATTGCGGCAGAGATCCTGTAACAGCTTCTTCGCTAGAAGTGTGAAAGGAGCGATGAAGCCCAGGGGATCAAAGATTGATGAGATGGTGGACATGACTCCTCGTCTTGTAAACGGTTTGCTGTTAATGACGATTCGAAATCCAAAACATCTGATTGTACGCACCACTGTATCCCTAAGGCACGCTCGATAGGGAGGTTGTCACAGTCAAGAGTTATTGATCTGACTTCTTTCGATCGCTCATCCTCTGGTATAGACTCTAAAACTGCACGACTATTGGAAGTGAATTTGGTGAGGCGGAATCCACCTTTCTTACAGGATTGCCGAAGACCTTCAATCAGCTCGACTGCTTTACCTTCCGAGCTTACGGAACGTAGACAATCGTCCACATAAAAGTTATTTCGCAGCGTGTCAGCAACCAAGGTACCGTACTTATCTTCGTTATCCCTTGCGGTTCGCTTAAGGGCAAAGTTAGCGACACTTGGCGACGAGGCCGCTCCAAATAAATGTACAACCATCCGATACTCTTGTAGCTCGGCTTCTAGATTGCCATCTGGCCACCATAAGAAACGGAGGTAATCATACTGTTCAGGAGGAACTGTAACCTGGTGGAACATGGATTCCACATCTCCCATGAAGGCTACGGGGTCTTCACGAAATCTGGTTAGCACGCCTACTAGGGAGTTTGTCATATCTGGACCTTGCATCAGACAGTCATTGAGCGACACGCCCTGAAACTTTGAACTACAGTCAAATACGACGCGTATTTTTTCTGGTTTTTTCGGGTGATACACCCCATGATGGGGTAGATACCACACCTTGCCTGGGTTCGGTATCAGCAACTCATTTGGAACTCTTTGTGCATACCCTTTGGCGATGACATCGTTTACGAAGGAAACGTAATCAGAGCGGTATTTAGAATCTCTCAACATCTTTTTCTTCTGCCAGTTTGCTCTTTTGATTGCTTGCTCCTTATTGTTGGGCATGATAATATCGCTATGTCGCAATGGAAGAGGAACTTGGTAGTGGCCGTCGACAACTTTCGTCTCCCTTTCAACCATAGTTAAAAACTTTCTGTCTTCTTGAGAAGGCCCACGCTCGTCCGGTGCTTTGCTTACGGTGTGATCGTTGAAGTCCATCTGCAACATTCTGAGCAATGACGTTGGAGCAATGATTTCCTTCGGCGTTTCCACTTCTCTCACTGTAATTCGGTTCGCGATTATTTTGTCCTTGTCATGATCAGTTCGGATATGGAGAGGTCCACAGACTGTCCAACCATGGCGGAGACGGAGGGCAAATGGGCCATCGCTTCGACAAGGTACAACTTCTAATGGTTCTAAGGCAGGCGGGCAATTGCTGCCAATGAGTAGTCCAATCTCCAGGCGAGGCTCAAGCTCAGGGATTTTCTTCGCAACCTCGGAAAGGTGTGACCACTGATTTATGAGACTGGGCGTGGGAATTTGGTGATGTTCTGCTGGGATTTCATCTCTTGTGTATGAGCGAGGCAACTCAATGGGATTCTCATCATCTAGGCTCGTAACGATAAGATCGTCCAGAATGATGCTTTCCACTTGACTCTGTCCATGCATGGTGGTGAGTTGTAGCATAACCTTGACACCGTCTATTCCTAACTGTCTCCTGATATTTTCGGTTGCAAAACAGCCGCCACTACCATTATCGTAAAACGCGTACGTGACAACTGAATTGTTACAGCCCTTCTGTTTAACTTTAACTGGGAGTATGGCATGTAGCACTACGGACTCCTTGCAACTTGGTGCGTCCTGTACAGGTTTAGAGACATCAATGCGCCTATTGCTAACCGCTATAGATTGAACTTCCGTCGCTTGGGGTTTGTTACTGACGCTCTCTCTATTCATTGTGAAACCATCAATGTGCAATGCTGTTGGGTGCCGTTTCTTGCACTTCTTGCAGGTGCGTCTCTTTACACAACCTTTGGATACATGATCAGATTCGTAACAGGCAAAGCATAATTTTCTTTCGTAAAGAAATGTCTTCCTTTCATCCATGGTCCTTTTGAGGAATTCCGCACAATCATCCAGGTCATGGTTCTTGCTGCAGAAGGGGCACAACTTTTCCTTGCCACCAGCATTGTTTCGGTTCGCATGGTTTACAGCCTCTATGCCGGGAATGGTGATACCAGTGGCAAAACTGTTGCTTGTTTTAGTTGCTGACGAGGGCTTCTTCTTGCCATCTCTCCCACTGTTATCTCTGCGCCTTTCCTGGGTACTACTTAAAGCCTGCACGCCAAATACAGGGTCGTTCGCTGATTCGGCTGCTGACACCACAAAATCAGCGAGATCCTTAAAGCTCGCTATCCTTCCGTTCTCTTTCAATTTCGCAGCACGATCACGCCATCTTGACTGGAGATGCGAGGGAAGCTTTTTTGCAATGGTCTGCAGGTTCGTAGGATGATTTAACTCATTCATATGAGACACGCTCATCATAGCATTTTTACACTTAATCAAGAAAAGCGATAAACGCTTTAGTCCTGATGCGTCATCTGGCCGAACTGGGGACCATCCGAGAGCTTTGTTCACATAGGCCATTGAAACTTTAAAGGGATCCCCATATTCCTTCTCCAGTAACCTCCTCGCCTCCTTATATCCTTCAGAAGGGTCCATATGCAGACAGCCTCCAATAAGTTCTCGTGGTTCCCTTTCAAGATGTTGTTCCAGGTAGTATAAGCAATCTGCCGCCCTGAATGTTCTGGACTCTATCCTTGCCTTGAATGCCATGATAAAGGTTCCATATTCGATGGGGTCTCCTTTAAACTTGTGCACTTCAGGTTGAGGCAGAGTCATTGCTGCAGCCAGTTGCCGATGGGTTGCAATCATTTGCTCATTTTGCTGTCGCTGCATGGCCATCACTTCTTTGAAAGACCTTTCATGGGGTTCCAATCGATAGGGATCATCAGCTGCAGCGATAATTCCTTGTGGTACATCAGTGGTCCCGTTGTTAGCCGGAGGCGATATCTCGCCGGCTAGACTGTTTGAGTGAAACTCTGGGGCAGCAGGGTTGAGATGAGCGGCAGGTGTTGAAGCCATGAATTTAGGTTCACTTTGCTGGAGACAGGGAACAATACCATCCTTATTTTCTAGGTTACCATCATTTTCCAAATCGGCATAAACCCTTTCTCTGGCCTGGGCTTTCGCTATTTCAGTTTCCAGTTTCAAGGCTTCATCTGCTGCTCGTAGAGCTTGTTTGCGTTCTAGCATTTGTTTTTCAGCTTGTAATTCCGCTAGCTTAAGTTTCTCCTTTGCTCGTGCAGATGGCGTTGAGCTGGCTGAAGACTTCTTCGAACGGGTGCTAACACGGGACGATTTGGATGAAGCCGATTTTACTTCTGAGAGCAGATCAAGTTCTTCTGTTAAGCAACGTTCTGCTACATTCATCCATTCCATAACCTGTTTCCTAAATTCCAAAAATGACTTCTCCTTACTTTCATAGCGATCAAGTTCCCTGTCTTGATCCTGTTCGGAGGTCAACTGGCAATAATAAAGGTCACGTGCTTCTTGATACTCCTTGAATAATGTGTTCAATACAATAACCTCTGATTTCACTAAATGAAGATTGTTCTCATCTTCCATTAAGTTTGTGAGAGCATTCCTTTGCTTTGTCACAGCAGTCGTTTTGGCAGTTTGATCGTTTTTCAGTCGCCTTAATTTCTCTTCTTGACCCCTTTCAGTTAATTTCCTTACACGAGTATCGGGACAGCTTTCGTTCGGAGGAAACCCAGGCCCAGCGCCCTCAGCGACAGGTTCATCGTTCATGGTGGACTAGGCACTAATTAATCCTTCGGTAGTCGCTTCAAATTAGCGATGAGTGGCGAACAGTTCGCCCAACATTGCAAATAAACGTAGGATAAGTTCCAATAAACCAGTATGCGATGAGGGTCAAACTTTTCGAAACGAAATGTGCACGCATAAAACGGTACGACAACACAAACTTGAACACGCGTACTTGTAATTATGAAATGGACTTTACAATCTTGAACGAACGTTGTACGGTTTCGAAAACTAAAAGGAAACAAAGGAAATTTACAACTATAAATACGGAAAAAGGCTAGACAAACAAGAAACGAAACCAAAAAAAACTTACGTTTGTGTCCTTATAATATAAACGATGACGTTAAACGGGCGTTGAAACGATTCTCCACTTCGATCGAGCACATGTATTTTTTAACTCGCAGCGCCTCTCGGGATCTAGCTAATGAGTGCGTGACATCACGCATAACGGCAGTAACATAGCGTGTTGGAATATTTGCACTAAATGAAGTCAAATTTTGTTAATAATTCTTCCTCACATAGTAATTTCCCTCCAGCATGCCATACAACCTTTCATTTATGGTGCAAAGAATTTCGAATTTTGTTTATAGAAACATTCTTTTACCCTTTAAAAGAGCTAGATTTCTCGAATCTGTTATAAGATTTATGACTATGTACAGCTGTTTTCTCCACAATCACTGAGCTGATGGCCTTTGGTCCACTAGTACTTAAAAATGATAATTCTTTCCCTTTTCGGTAAGATTTCAAATTCTACCAGTTTCTGTTCCCATAGAGTCTTCAGAATATGACAGCTTTATTTGCCCGGTTAGAATAAGAGTCTTTATGGAATGGATAGATCAGTTTCTTTTGAATTAGTTTTTACTGTTACAGGCAGACTCTTATGTGAATTGATCCAACAATGCTGCATGGGAGAAATGGTGTTAATCTTCTACGGAACCTCCAAGCTTCTATCAATCATCAAAATAACTTTTTCTACCTGAAAGCTCGTAAAAACTGAAGTACTATGAGTAAAAATAAGACTATTACTAAACAGTCTACATTAATTGAAATATTGTGGTTGATTCGAAACCATTTCTGGAAAGTGCTCTTGGAGCCTGTGGTGTTCGGATGGCACGAGAAACGGAGATATATTCTTTGATTTCAACACAGAACTTTTAATAACTTCTAACATGTGTCGTCGCCATTACCGGAAGTGATCATACATCGAATCATGAACGGAAGCGAGGCTGAATTAATGTAAACGTAAATCGAATACAGCACATCTCCCCCTTTAAGATAATAAAAGAGAAACTACTTAGACATACTTGTTTCTTATCTAGCGTGAAATTCAAAATCAAAACAACGTCAATCAAATGTCCTCAAGTAATCGTCATTTTGTTAAGAAACACATCCTGGGTAGCTATTGTCGTTTGTCTCTGCACTAAGTCTCACACACACTAGAATACGCGTTCATAGTTATGACTTTCTGTCTGAGAAACCAGAGAAAATCTGGCCAGAAAGTATAACTTCACTTATGGCACATAATCCTTCCATCTAGATGAGGGCTTAGATTGACGGCCAGATCTGGTGTACACTTTTGATGTGCCAGTTCCTTCTGCAGTGTTAGCAGTTTGGGGTGAAGGAAGTTTAGGTGATGGAGGTACTGGCACCGGTGTGGGTTTGGCTGGAGATGTAGCTGCAGCTGGGGGTGGGGGTGGTATCTTGTTGATCTGTACTCTATTCCTTCTATATGACCCAGTGTCCGTATGGATCACATAAGAACGAGGTGTGCACTTCTCCACTACTATTCCAGACTGTCCTCTGTCTTGTACCATTACTTCATCTCCCTTCTCTAAGGGAACAAGAGGCCTCGCTGAATGCCTTCTGTCAAAGTGCAGCTTCTGTTTGGTTTTGTGATTGTCTTCAAACTGACGTAGGGCATGATTCTGCACAAGGTTTGGGGACAGCTGAGACGGGGCCACCGGCACTTTGGTTTTTAGCCTCCTTGACATCATTAGCTCAGCTGGAGAATAACCATTAGCCAATGGTGTCGCTCTATACTGTAGCAAAGCAAGATAAGGATCTTGAGAGCCAGCTAGGAGACGTTTAGCTGTTTGCACTGCTCTCTCTGCTTCACCGTTGCCTGAAGCATGACCTGGGCTGCTAGTGACATGTCGAAACCCGTAATCTAAAGTGAACATCTTAAATTCCCTTGATGTATAGTAGCTGACATTGTCAGATTTTACTTGATCTGGAATTCCGAATCTGGAAAATGCACGTTTCATCCTGTCTATGACCTCTGCTGAGGCGGTTGAACTCAGACTAGCTACCTCTATCCATCTGGAGTAGTAATCAATCATTACTAAATACAGTCTTTTATTGAGTTCATAGACATCAGTGGCTATGTATTGCCATGGTCGTTGTGGGAGCATGGTAGGAACTAGAGGTTCTGGAGGATTTTTCCTGTTAGACTGACACTTGCGACAGTTTTCAATTAACTCCTCTATATTCTTCATCATGCTTGGCCACCACACTGTGTTTCTGGCCAATGCCTTGCACTTGACAATCCCTTGGTGACCGTCGTGGATCTTATCCAGGACTTCCAATTTCATAGACGATGGTATAACGACTCGAGGTCCCATCATCAACAGCCCTTTAACCACTGTCAGCTCTGCTCTATGAGCAAAATAAGGGCTGACTAAACCCTTGACATTATGTTTTTCAGGCCAACCTTCAGCTACATAGTTCATAATTTGCCTGCATGCTTCGTCCTCCTGTTGATGGATCATAATATCATCTAATTTGCTATCACTGATAGGCATTCCAGCTATGACTTGATGAGCATATAAGTTCACTTCCTCATGAAATGAATCACCTGATTTGGCTGGTGTTGGAGAACGGGATAGCGTGTCGGCAGTGTACAACAGTTTTCCTGGCACATGAACAGGTGTGAACGAGTATCTCATGAGCCTCATTCTCATTCGTTGAATACGTACGGGTAGTTGATCCAACTCCTTCGTGGATAGCAGTGGTACAAGAGGCTTATGATCAGTCTCTAGTATAATATCCTTTCCCAGAATGTAATCTGTGAATTGTTCACATGCGAAGGTACTAGCTAAGGCCTCCTTTTCAATCTGGGCGTACCTTTTCTCTACATCCAGAAGGCTTTTGGACGCATACGCCACTGGCACCCACCTGTCACCGTGCTTTTGCAAAAGCACTCCGCCAAGTCCGTATGAAGACGCATCTGCTGACACCTTGGTCTCTAGTGAAGGATCATATATTTGCAACACTGGGCTGCTCGTCAATCATTGTTTAATCTCTTTAAAAGCCTGTTCCTGTGCTGGACCCCAGCACCATGCACTGTGAGAGCTCAAGAGTTCACGTAGAGGTTGTGTCATAGTAGCAAGGTTGGGTACAAACTTCATGAGCTGGTTCACTGTACCCATCAGACCTCTTACCTCACTCACATTCTCTGGAGCACGCATTTTCAATATAGCCTCAACCTTCTCTGGAGAGCTTTCCACACCATTAACTCCGATCCGATGACCTAGAAAGTCAATCTGGCTTTTGCTGAATTGGCACTTATCCTTATTCAAGGTGACACCTGCTGCTTTCAGCCGTGTTAATGTCTGTACGAGTCTCTCGTCATGTTCCTCCTGGTTCTTTCCGAACACGACAATGTCATCCATGAGACATACCACACCTTGTTGACCACCTAGTATTCGGTAGATCTCACTCTGAAACTTCTCAGGGCCAGATTTGATACCGAAGGGAATTCACTTATATCGAAATCGACCAAATGGTGAGATGAACGTGGTCAGTTTCCTTGAATCTTCATCCAAGCAGATTTGGTGGAAGCCCGCATTGGCATCCAGTTTAGAGAAAACCTTAGCACCTCCCATCAGAGCAATTGTATAATCCACTGTGGGGAGCATGATTCTTTCTCTCTTCACTACTTCGTTAAGCTTCGTGAGATCCACACAGATCCTCACTTTGCCATTTCCTTTAGGCACCACGACCATAGGAGAACACCATTCCGATGTTTCTGTGCACCGTTCTATAACATCTAGCTCGATAAGCTTTTCAAGTTCAGCTTTGGCTAGAGGAAGTAGTGGAATAGATATCCTCCTGGGAGTCATCACACTGTATGGCTCTGCGTTTTGCTCGATCTTAATCTTATATTCTCCTTCTAGCTTTCCTAAGCCTTTGAACATTGATCCGAACTCCGCTGACTGAATAGGATCTGACGTAACTTTTCCAATGAACTTAACGACACCTAGATCTGCACAAGCGTCTCTACCTAGCAATAGAGAGCCTTTGGGGAACACATATATATCCTCTGTGATTGTCTGATCACCTTTCTTTAGTTCTGCAGTAAAGAATCCAAGAGTTGAAAGGTTGCTTTGATCTGGGCCACTAAGAGGCCTGTCAGGCTTCTGCAAAATGAAGTGTGAAAACTGTGTATCATACACAGCTTTGGAAATGACTGTCACATCTGCTCCAGTATCAACAGCAAATTTCAGGCTCTGACCTGACACCTGGACTTTCGTAAACCATGCACTCCTACGTTTCCTGTTGTTGATACTCTCAATAGAGTAACTTTCATCACTGATGCTTCCTAAGAAGTAGTACTCATCTGAGTCAGACTGCACTTCTGCTACCTCTTGTACAGACCCTTTTCCTTTAGTACTCCTGCAGACCTTGCCCCAATGTCCTGGGCGTTTGCACTTGTTACATTTACTGTCTTTTGCAGGGCATCTTTCTCTGGGGTGCACCTCCTTTCCACACCACCGGCATGACCGGCTATTCGACGCCTGGGAGCAATTTGATGCACTTCTTTGCTGCCTGTTACTACGTGGTCCCTTGTCACGAGGGCCTCCTTTCCGCCTATGTTGAACTGCCTGCACTTTAGAAGTCTCTCCTTTTATATCCTGAGCCCACCTTCCAGAACATTCTTCTGCTCTACACTCATTTATCGCTTTTTCTAAAGTCAGTTCACCATCTCTCAACAGCCGTGCTCTGACCTTATCACTATTTATACCCAATACGATCTTATCTCTGACAAAATCGTCCTTTAGTTCACCGTAGGCACACGTAGACACGAGAGTGTTAATTTGTGATAAGAAATTATCGAAACTCTCACCTTCTGATTGCGTATACCTGTGAAACTTGTAACGTTCATAAGTAACATTTGTTTTCGGCGTGCAGAACCTCTGGAATTTCTCCAGAATTAATTCCGGATCCAGTTTGTCCTCTGCTGGTACATGTTCCTCCCCTTCGGGGTCACCTACCGCTGGAGCCCATGTGAAGCCATTGTAGATTTTCAGCGCCTCCTCACCTGTGAGATTTAGCAGTATAGCACTTCTCCTTTCCTTACTGGCAGTAGATAATCCAATGGCGTTCACATATAATTCGTACTGCTGCTTGAACAACTTGAAATTCTCACTTGCATTTCCCAATAGACAAAGAGCTTTCGGTGGTGGAAGATTCGTAGCCATATTTCCGCGTAATTCCTGATCACTGATCGCTAAATATCCGTTCTGGACACAGTTTATATCTTCTTGTTCACTTCTGACACCATGTGGTGTTCGGATGGCACGAGAAACGGAGATATATTCTTTGATTTCAACACAGAACTTTTAATAACTTCTAACATGTGTCGTCGCCATTACCGGAAGTGATCATACATCGAATCATGAATGGAAGCGAGGCTGAATTAATGTAAACGTAAATCGAATACAGCACAGAGCCCACAGCAATCATTTGTCCTATAGGGCACACTGCAAACAACTGGGCCTTTCATCTCTTCCTGACAACCTAACATGTACGAGTATGAAGGAGAGGTGATGAACTTCTTTCCAAAAAGCAGGATCAGATGGAACTCTCTCAATGTAAAGTGACTTACACAATGAACCTTTAACTACAAAATCGGTCCATTCCTTACTTGTAGGAAACATTTGTAATTGTATTTGATAAAAACACTTTTGTTTCGTATTAACAACTATGGAATTATCACTAGTTACACAGATTTTCTTTCTTAGCAATACCTCTCTAAGGCTTTCTGAGTCATTTGTTTGAATGTACTTCAGTTCCAGTAATCCTGATGATCTCGACTTGCTCCAAGGAAGCCATGAGTAGGACTTACAAAAAATCCACATTCTTGCACAGAGACATATATGCCATTCTCTGCTTTACTGTCAACATATTCCTTGATGACAACTGGTCCCTGAGAAAGGCCAGCTTTCATTGCAGGAGTTGGTTTAAAATTCTTGTATCCTAATACCTCTTCAACAGCTTTTGTAGGTGATGTTGATTCTTTGAGTGAGGTACACCGGTAAGCCTTGCATGCAGTGATGTGGTATTTCCTTTGATGAAAACATTTGTTACAACTTGGCTGCTAGCTCAACTTTATGAATCTCTTCCTCTGTTAGCTTCAGTTTCCTCTTTAGAGACTTACAACGGTGTTGGGTTTTTGGCAGAGACACTTGATGTTCTTAGATAGGAGAAATCAATTCATCACTGGTATTTGGCTTTGGGTTTTCAGCAGGAAGAGGTTTAGAATAACTAAGGTCTAAGATCACTGCATTTTGAATGTTCTTCGTTGCGTGCTGTTGCAATATATAACTAAGACCAAGATCTCTGCCAGTTTTTATTTGAAAATCCATCACCTTAGTGTATGTCATAGACCTTAGTACTTCTTATGTTGACATTATTGAGATGGGCTGGCCTTAAATCATGTCCAAGAGAAATCACAGGGGTTCTATGCTTTTTGAGCCATGCTCATGTGTTCTGAACTGGAGGTTAGCTATTGGTTCAAGAGGATGAAGCAAGGAAAGCAATTTCCAAATGCATACATAAGGAAACTGTGCAGAAGGAAGTGGTAGGAAATAAAGGAGTTCCACAAAGAATTTCAGGCAAAGGTGAGTACCCTATCAATGGACTCTAGATTTGGAAACAACACCAGAGTGAGTGGTGCTTCTGATAACATAGATGGACTTAAAAAGTCAGACTGATGTTGTATCTTGGGTTCGGGGGGTGGGGGGGGGGGGCATTTTCAAACAAGCAAGGTGCTTTAGGAAGAAAAGTCAATGTTGAGTTTAAGCTATAGTCTTTCAGATTTAGTAAAAACACAATGACTGTTTTGATCAAATTATCTGATATCAAAAACCACTTAATGCACATTTTCTACCATTCAATTTTAGCCAACTGAAAAAATGTAATCATAGCACCCCTGAAGTGTTTTATTTCAACAATGGATAGGGGTGCAGAGGGGAAGATGTGATAACTCACTAACAAATGCTGTTGCTCCACTTGGGGTTATACCAATCAGAACTTTCATGGTTCTTAATTTGTGCTGTGAATATCATGCAGACTGATTATCCAGGGAGGACAGCCTTTCCATCTCAATCTCTGTACAGTTTATTATGAAAGTAGTGTTTAGGTAGTGTTTGCTAAACAGTGGAAGCAAATGCTGTCTAAGAACTTCTCTTTGTAGTAACTGAATCAGGGGCTCAAGGTCTACTCTTAAAAATCTCATCCAGTTTTTAAATCTTAGTGCTCTCACAGACTTTGCAGCGATTTCCAATATCCCAATTAAAAAGATCTAGTTGTAACTTCATGCAAACAAGAATGAGTTCATTGAAACATGACAGTTTCCCTGGTCTACCAAGTTTGTTGTCATCCATTAGTTTGGTGTATGATCCATAGCTAATGTTTTTTGCTACATCTCGAAGAAAGCTATAGCACAGTTAAAGAGTTTCATAGTTTTAAAAGCTGGTTTAAAATGTGATATACCTGGGGCTATCCTAGTATTTTTTTAATATCAAATTTGTGTTCTTTGAGTTGATATTGGAGCTGCTTTAATTCGTGTAAAAAGGTTTTTTGACAGTTTCGTTCAGTTCACAAATTGTGTTTTTATGCTCACTTACATTGAAGTCTGACACATTGATTTGAGTAGCTGCATTTGCAAATGAAGATTGATAAAGCACTTCTCATAATTGTTGCTGAAATTCAAAAGTATTTGCATCTTCCTCCATATCAGCTGAGCATTCAACTTTTGTTTCACTTGTTGTTTTTCATTGCCATGGCATGTCCAAGCAATGCATTTTCTCCGAGATTCCCAGTGAAAGATTCATTGGTAATGCTCAGTTCTTTCCTCCGAAGTGGCCTTCTACTTTGCTTTGCTTTCATTCATGGAAATATTGATTGTAAATATTTACAATTGTTCTCTCTCCCTTCAAAATGTGAAGATCAAATCCTTGTATTGTTGCTGTCCAGCTTAAAACTTCTGTTTCTAAGAAGCTGTACATATTCTTTAAGTAGATTGCAGTCCTTTGGAATTTGGTGGTAATGAAGGCCTGATGAGTTTCTGAAGTTGTTAAGACAGCCTAGAATGTAGGAATTCACAGGTTGAAGCATTTTAAACACGGATAAACTTTCTATATCAACACACTTATCATACTTCGATCTGCTGTTTGAGTGTGAGCTGTCCATCCAAACACATTGCCAAGGCCTACTCGGCTGTTCTAGTGCCCAGATTAGTACTTGATTTTGCACTGTGGAATTGCATATAAGCAAGTTGGAATTCATATTTCTCGTGCAGAGCCCTACTGTTCATGTTTTTTTTAAGATTATCACTAGCCCTGTCGAGATTTTTTACATCTTCTGTCTCACCAACTACTTTTGCCACATTTTCAAGGATAAGGAGGATGTAGATGAATTGTGTTCATTGAAAATGTGGCTGGTCTTATGGGTTTCAGTGGTAATTGATAACTCTTCAGGTTGCACTGTTTCCCCTTGATCTTTCTTAAGTTCTTCCAACTCTTTTCTTTGGTCATCGTGGCCCAAAAGGTCCTCTCCTAATTGAACAAGAGGAATGACTCTTTCCTCCTCCATTAGTTTCATCATCATCATCATCTTTGCTATCATGATCCATTAGCCTGCTCTCTTCTGGGTAATTGTGAAGAAGAGCTCCCCAAAAAACCTGTCGGCCGACAGTTGGCCGTCTGTCGGCCAACAGTCGGTCGACTGTCGGCCGACAGGTTTTGCCTGAAATATAGGCTACCTGTCGGCCAACAGTCGGCCAACTGTTGGTAATGTGTCGGTAACCTGTCGGTAGCTTGTCGGTAGCTTGTCGGTAGCTTGTCGGTAGCTTGTCGGTAGCTTGTCCGTGAAACGCTTGAAAACGACATCTAACATGTTTAATACGTTGACAATTGACTTTCAAGATTTGGTGGCTCCTAAAGGAGCCGTTTTGTGAGTGGTGAAATATACAAGATATTTCACTCGTAGAATCGTGCCTCGCTTGATACAACATCCAACATGTTTAATACGTTGCTGTCGATCGATAAGTAGGTGAAGTCTGTCGAGTCATACATCACCATTACGGATTGTTATGTCACGTTAACTGTTCGTTTTTAACACAATTTTTCTTTTTTCTTAACCTGTCGGTAGACTGTCGATTAAATTATCTTCCCATGTGATTCTTAGATTGTCTGGTGTGTTGTAAATTACGCAAGTGATATATCCTATACGCATCTGATAACATTTTGGAAGAAACGTTTCTTTACATACTACCAACTTTGCCGTCGATCGGTAAGTAGGTGAAGTCTGTCGAGTCATACATCACCATTACGGATTGTTATGTCACGTTAACTGTTCGTTTTTAACACAATTTTTCTTTTTTCTTAACCTGTCGGTAGACTGTCGGTCGACTGTCGGCCGACAGGTTTTTTGGGGAGCTCTTCTTCACAATTACCCTCTTCTGCATAATCTTCACTTCCAACATCATTCAATTCTTCATTTCTGTTACTCTTTGTGTCACTTTCATCATCATCCTCGTTGTCCTGCAGCAAGCCAGTGTGAATGATGTGCTCAAACTCATCCCTTTCATCAAATACTCTGATGGCATGGTGAGGTATTTGAATATGAGATGATGACACATTTTCCCCAGGTGTGTTAGAGATATTTACTTTCTGACCTCAGCGTGTGGGAGCCAAAGTAATGTAAAGGTTGAAGGGTGCGAGCTTCTATTTGAGTTTCACTTGCTGAAGTGACATCAAAGAATTCAACACCTTTAACAACATGCCTTCACCAACTTCTCCACACCAAAGGAAATCAGAAGTGCACTCTAAGTGAGCTTGATAAGCGCTGTGGTATTTGAGGAGAACTCTACGTGGGATGATACTATTTTCTGCTTTTGGCAAGGACTTGGATAGTTTCCCCAGTTGTCACTCTTAGTCTTGAATGGCACTTCATCAACTGATTTCACCTTGTTTCATTTCTGTTTGCATCCTGATCAGTTCAGGTGTGATGATCTCTCCAGGTCATCTGCTTGATGTTGCCAAAGATGTGCTTGCAAAATGTTTAAATGGTGCTTTTGTTGTTGTGTGTTGGCTGACCTGGAGTAGATGATGTGATGTTGGATAAGTGCATGGCACACCAGTGACTGCAGGTAACGGCCATATAATTTTTTTCTCTGTGAGTATTATAGGCTTTCCAATAACCTCCTCACATGTTGCGGCATGAAGAAAGATTTGATTGTGAAGCTTTAATACATTTTTTTGGCATCTTTTTTGTACCTTGACATACAGAATTCGCATGATTTCTGCCATAGTGTCCAGTAAGAGCTGCACCTTGTTACTGACAAAACCTATGAAAGGGAAAATGATAAAATGTAATTACTTAGACACTTAATTGATTAAAGAAAAACTTTCTGTAAATGGGGAGAACAACATGTATTAAAAAGAATGTTACTGTCCAATTTGATAATAAAAGTAACTTAGCATAACAGCGGTAATTAAGCAAAATGTTTGTTTGAGCACAACAGCTGCTTACTTTCAAAAAGTAGCTATCTATGAGATGTCAATGTAATGTGAAAATTGCTAAATTTTTAAAGAATTATAAATGACATTGTCTGCTGATTTTAGTCCAAGCTGTTCTGACCTATCAGGGGTGTGTGTTGGGAGGAGGGATAATAATAAAATTATTATTGATAAGGCAAACTGTACATTTAAAGTATAAAGTTAATTAGGACCTCTAAACAACTCTAATAGTTGAACAATGTTCACCTCAACTGTTTCGCAAGCGCAATGCAGATGTCTTGGTAATCTGAACCACATAGTTGGTCTTTTGCTCCAGACACAAAGCTCACACAACTTTTTTGCATCATCTCAGAGGAGGGCAGAAATGTCACTGATAATGTTTGAGATGTTTTCCTTCACATTATGCAATGGTTCAGTGGGAAGGACTTCATACATCTCTATGAAATAAAAGTAAATAAATATAACTAGAGAAGATTAATTTATCTGGATTTGATAAATACATCTACACTGTAGTTATATGCTTTGGAGGAATATGAGAGCTTTTAAACTGTTATTATGAGGTGTTGCTTTTACATGTACAGTATGTCCTGGTCCATTTTAGGAGAATCAGGCCAATTAATTTTGCCTCCATTATCTGCCAGTTCAATTATAAAGTTGTTGTTGTCCTTGTGAGTACAAAATTATCTAGGTAGTTCCTCCATTGCTCAACGGGCAATTTCAATTTCAGGTCTTTGGAAACTTTCTTTCACAGCAACCCTTGAAAATCCTAAGTTAAATATGAGACATCATCTTTTGTTTGTCAAATTTTCTTCCTTTCTCACTTGTATCAAACAATTGATCTTGCCATAGGATGAGCACGTGCTTTCTACTTTTGAAAATTGCACCGAAACTAACATAGTATTACAGAATTCAAAACCTTAAAAGGTAAAGTTACTAATTTATTTGAACAAAGACCATGTTTTTTAACATGTTCTTTTCATGTTTTAAAAATAGAACAAAAAGCCCATATTTTTTATTGACTTCTCTACTTTACCACTGGTTATTGTAGTATCAGCCCTACTTGTAATTCACCATTTCAGACCATTTAAAATTAAAGGAAAAAAAATCATAAAGGTTAAACAAGGATTCTCTTTCCATTTTTTCTGAATCTTTTTTCCCAACACTCTTTTCCCTTTTCCCTCTTTTAGCCAGTTACCCATGTTGGCATGTTCATGTACCTATACTAAAACTTTAAGGGACTTGTCAACATGAAGCGTAACCGATATAAATCAAGCAGGTAGATCTAAAACCATCAGAAATACATACGAAAGCAATTCAAATGAACCTTACTTTCAATTCAAGCGGCAAAATTTGAAATTGTTTGTTAAACTTACAATCCCCATGCGACCATTTCTTTCAACAATTCAAACACTACAACTGGTGCTCGAATTCCCCTCGTCGATTCCACCTCAAGAAATAACCTGTGCCACCCAAGCTTTGATTCGAATGTGAACTACATGTAAAGTAACATAACTGCTTCATCTTCACGGCAATATCATGGTGGTATTTTGATTTTCCGATCGATTAGAACGGTGATCAGGAATCGATCGGTTTGTTTACCTCATAAACGTGACCGCTGACCAGCTGCTAAGTGAAAACAGCATAGCGCGGGGTGGGGGTGGGTGGCGGGCTTATCGTCATAAGATATTCAAATAGATGCTCAAAAAGCTCTAGGACTATCAGTCTAAACAGTGAAGGCATGCTTCGTGGAACAGATAACTTTTATTTTATTCTCATAACTTTCTCCTTTAAATTAGAACTGGTATTAATTAATAGAGTTATCAATATATTTTTAACCGGGTACCCATATAAGCTTTTTGCTTGTCATCAGTGCTATAAAATAAGGTGCCTTTTCCACCAGAACCTTTTATTTATGCCCCATTGCACGGAATGAACACTATACTTAGAATGTTTGCTCTAAGTAATTTTTTCTGTTCCCAAGAATGTACGCAAAGTGATAGAGATTTGATTCATTCCGCTGACACGTTCTTTTAAGTTATGGCCAGTGCAGGTTTTTTCTATCAAAAGTCGCGCATGCAACACACCGGAATTGAAAATTCGTCGTAAAATCGCATGAACCTTAGAATGAGTGTAGACAACTTTGACTTCTGGCAAGATTAAGTGGATGGTTCAAAGGACCCCCTGAGATTTTTTTCAGGAACATAACTAAGATTTGTTAATAACTATGATAATCGGGATGTTGTTTCGCATACAAGTCGATTCGCATACAAGTCGATTCGCATACAAGTCGATTGGCATACATCGAGGTCGTTTTGCTGACACGATCTTGGTTGATTCGCATACATTGAAGTCGTTTCGCATACAGTTTGAATCAACGACATTAAAGTCGATTCGCATACACTATTTGAGTCAATTCGCATACAAAAAGGTCGATTCGCCTACCCAATCTAAGTTCGAAGTTATTTTGTTTAGCGAACATTACTCAAGGTGGCTTACTACGCGCGCCAGGACTTTCTTTCTGAATATTGCTCACATTGATAAAAAATGAACTCTTAAAAAGCGAAAACAAGTTTCAGCAAGCCTAATCCACTTTAAACTAATTTCAGAACACCAAAGAAAACTTCGAAATACCTTCTGGTCATACGAGTTGGTCTGGCCGAAAATAATATTGAAACTGCTAGTGCCCAGTCTCCGCTTGTTTATCTTTATTTTGGCATTCATGTACTGTATAGCAAACAGTAATTAGAGAAATAGAAAACATTTTTGAGCGTGTAACTAAAACTTTAGAAATTGGAGCTACGTCATAGTTGGTATATCTTGAAAAAGTCATCTTTGTTCCTTTTTGTTTTAGAATCACCCAAGTGGTGTTATCTTCTTTAACCAACCATTATTATTTCCCAACACTTTAACCATAATTAAGGTCATCCAAGAAATATCGTGACGTAGCTCCTTTAAGGTTAAAAGGAAAATCACACAACAACAGTTTTATAGTATAAACAAAAGTATTTAATTCCTTCTAAATTAGCGAGATACAAAGCAGGACATGTGCGTGACTCTGGTAGTCACATGTCCTATAAATAGTTGTATTGAAAATAATGTGTCTCAGATTAAGGAATACAAGGGAGAAAGTCTGTATGTCACTATTGTGTGTGCATGACAGTGTGTATGTTAGGGAACTATTTACAACTTGCAAAGTTTACCTAGCTATTGAGAAATTACATGTTAATTTAGCGCTGAGTGTATTGTCTGGACGGTCCATTAAGACGGGCGCATTCCCTTAAAAGCTGCTGTGCATTTTTTCTTTGGTGACTAAAATTGTCCTAGAGAGCGAAAACTTTGGCTTGGAGAGAACGACACTTTACCCTTTGGATCCTTTCAAGTTTTTTCTTGGAAACTAGACGAATGCGTAATGCTGTAAGGCGGGCTGGATGGAGGAGGTCAAGCAGCACGTAGAATGGCATATGCCACTTTCCTGAGGCACGGTGGTGAAGCCCATGGTGCCACCCTTCTATGTCATTGTTACTTCTGATGGCCATTATGTAGACACTCCATGAAGACGGGGGCCAGGTTTGGTTGTGGATCCACGTTTGGGACACGTACTCTACAAATTGCCTTAGTTGGTCTGTTGCTGCCTGAGCTTTCAGATGTTCGAACATCGGCTCGATTTCATCCTCGGGAGGGAATGCCAGCGCCATGATTTGTCTAAGGTACCGGTACATGCCACGGTTGTTATTATATTGCTGCTGGAGTCCAAGCTCTTGAATCTGAAAAAAGGAGAAAGCTATTAGTATATACACTATTTTTTACAAGAATATACTTTATAAGAATATCGAGGCTGAAATTGGCGATATTTCATCAATATTTTAAGAATAAGTCTTAGGTGGGATTGAAATTTCAATAAGAATTATATATTTACCCTTTAAATGTATATGTATAACATATACGAAAAGTTGAAAATTATGGAACGTACACGACACCACAACACGACACCAGAATATATAAACACGATCTAGTATAACCTAATGAAATATCGTAGACATTGGAGTAATACTTCATTAATTTCAAAATTGCGGACAACTAAAATGAAGTAACTTAGATATTTGAATTCTGTCAATAAGTTCCGCATTTATTTTAGATTGTTTACTTAAATTTACGGTTTGAATCATCCCTTCAGGTTTAGCTGCAATCAAAAAACAGTTATTCAACGGTTTCACCTACCTTCCTCCAAAGAGCCTGTGTCCAATGGAAAACACACCCCTTGATCTTTACGTCGGGAAGGAGCAGGCGAAGAACACTCCACAGAGCCTTTTCAAAATCGATGGTTATTTGGCAGACCTCAGGATCAACAGGGAACATCTGAAGGATTGACTTCAGGACCTGTAGCGAAAAAGAAAAGAAAGATTTAAACAATTCATCATGAAATAGCAGTTATTTGACTTGCCATCTAAATCAGTATCTGAAAATCTCTTCATTACGATTACTTTCTTATGAATATGGAAAAAAAAACTATTGAAACAAACGTGAAATTAAAAAAAAAAAGTTCTAAATTGAAATTGTAACTTGAACTCGTGAAATGGACAGACCCTAAAATATTTCACATCTTCTGAAATAAACATTAACCAAGATTGTTCACCTTTGCATAGTAAAAACACAATATTAGGTTTAAACTGTGCTCATACCCCCCGCTACGGTCCCACAAAATAGTCTATACACATTTGACATTAAGTACCTTACGATAATCTTTCTTTTTTCTTCCAGACATCAATACGAACATGAGCGGAACTTGTTTGGCGTGATCATCCATGCGCACAAACGCGTTGATGGTGAAGAGCTTCTGAAACGGTCGCTTCACTAATTTAAATGTTCCATCAATATACCAGCTCTTAGCTTTACTTAGATGCTCAAGTTGCTGGTTGGTTGCTAGGATGATGTGGCATTTTCTGTGCTTTTTGATGTCCGCTTTTAGGAAGTCATCTAAAGTCTGATGTATCATCAAGGCAGCTGACCAGTTATGGCAAGGAAAATTTATTAACACCTGAAAGAATGTTTGCAGTAACAAACCGCAAAAAGCATATAAACAACATAACAAAATTCTTCTAGCTTTAGTGCATGACAAATAAAAATTGAACTTAGTCTATGCGCTGTCAACGCGTTTGCTGTGCCAAACAAAAAGAACACAGGACGCAATAACAACACGCGCATATCGCAGGGTTGAGGTTAAGTTTATAGGTATCCTGTTAGAGTTTTCTTTTTAATTTCAATGTATGCGAAACAACTTCGATGTATGCAAATCGACCAAGATCGTGTCAGCGAAACGACCTTGATGTATGCGAATCAACTTGTATGCGAAACGACCGGCTTCCGATAATCGTCATCATAAGCGGACGGTGCTTTTTGCCCATTGTTGTCATCATTATTGTTATCACACTGGAAGAAGTATAAAGCCGGCATGTCGCCTTACCTATAAAATTGTTCTCTCTGAGTTTTGCTCCCCTTGGATCCTGGAAACTGTTACTATTAAGACGATCAACAAGAAAGCCTTTATAATTATTGAAACTTTTGATTAACAGAATGTAAGAAAAAATCGGTGGGGAGAGTTTTTTGCGTATCTTATAATCTGAACAATAGTTTTAAATAAAAAAAAATAACACTTTATTCAATTTACCTTAGTTGTCTCGTGTTTAAAAGTGGCGTTTCTGGGGACTGTAGATTCTTCTCTGATTCTTCTTGTCTCAGCCAAGACTCACTATCATCAACTTTTTTCTTGTGCTTCTTATGGCATGGGACACAGGGAGCTGAAGTAAGCAATTGCAAATTTCTCAGTTAAAGTAAAGCCCAGTAGCATCCATCAGGAATTTAAAAAAACCGACATGCACTGTTTACTTTTATCATTCTTAATCAAATAAGGAGTGTTTTAGTCTGCAAATTTAATCATACTGGTTAATGAGAATCATACAAACTGAGGAAAACTGACCGCAAATAATTGTGAACCGTACGCATGAGTAAGTATATTGCGTTGTCAGGTGATTTGATTTTCAACAAAAACATTATCGATTATCAACCGAGCAACATTGTACATATTTCCATCTGTAATTTAAAGCACTTACACATAGATCTATTTTTTTTTCAACGTCATGTGTACTTAAGTACCATTCATCTAATAAAGAATTTCTTCTCTTTTCGAGTAGATATGTCACGTGACAAAAATACATAACAGAAAATGTTACTGAAGACTACCTGATTCAACTGGAATAATAACTCCAAACAACTTTTGAATGTCCTGAGACATATGCAAGGTAATTACATCTCTGCCTTGGATACGCTTCCTGACACCATCATGATCAGGATACTGACATTTTACCTTTGCACTTCTCCAAAACTTCCCCAGAGTGTGGCGATGCCTATAGTAAATCCACATTTTTTTGTTTATCCTCCTGAGCGAGGTGAAATAGGCCAATCCTTGCGAAGATTAGCTCATTTTCACTTAAAAACCTCTTTAGACAGGTGGCAACTTATCAAATGATGTTTTATTTCGTCATGCATTCAGACAGTCGTACCAAACCACTTAAGTCAGGCGATGAACCAAAGTTTTTTCCATCTTTGCTATTCAAAAAGCAGTCCTGAGACATAATGAACGTCTCGCTAATGAAAGACTTCTTCCTGTACCTGTAATTGTTTCCAACGCGTTACAAGTTCGGGAGATCTAAAGGAACTTACTATAACTTTGTATATTCCATATGATTTCAATTTCCGCATCAAAGGAGAAGCCTACTGTAATTCGTGAGTGGTCAGTGGTTACGCTCGTGAGGTAAAGAATGGGTTTGTGACTTTCTCACTCAATTGAAAGACTCGCGTCACTCTTATGAAATGGTTGAATGGAATACAGACTTCGTGCAGTCTCTTATTTTTCTTAAAGATAGTGAGGTCACGCGTATCCTGTGAGCATGGAGAAGCTGCGAGACGCTAGACTCGTATCTCGCGTCTTTGCTGCTCCACGCTCTAAGAGTTGGGCGAAGACAAGACATGTTATTTCCGGTGTGATACAAGAGGTTCAATGGTTATCTCGATTATCTAAACACATTTATTTACGTGGTAAAGATTTGTTTTTAAATCTATGAACTGATGCTAGTCCTATTTGGAATGAAATGTATTTGAAATAAAAAAGAATACTAAGTAAAACAAAAGTTGTCTGCAACACGAAGCATGCCTTCGCATTAAGACTGAGAATCCTAATGTTTATCATAATACTTTAATGCATATGT